AAAAAAGAAAAAAGTTCGACTTAAGGTAGTTTTAATGAGTACTCTCTCGTTCATTTTTAATGAGTCTTCATCTCAAGTTTTAGTGAGTAACTCTCTCGTTTCGACTTAGTGCCCAGCGAGTAGCAGCTGTCTTGGCGTTTCGACTTGGTGCTTCTACAGAGGTAACCAGTCTCTGTATCAGCGTTTGGATTTGGTGCCACAGTAGGCGAAGACTGTCTCGGCGTTTCGACTTATTTTGCTATTACAGACCAGAAAACTGTTATAGCGTTTTTGAATTTTGTGCCACAGTAGGCAAAGACTGTCCTGGCGGTTGGATATGGTGCCACAGCGGGATCAGGCTGTCTCGGCGTTTAGATATAGGATTTTTGATTTTTGTTGTTTTATTTGGTGTTTTTAATTGTTTTTAGTTTCGTTTGGTAGTCTCCCTATTAGTCATCGGGGCGGTCTGTGCGTTCTCGAAGATTTTCGCATTTCGAACACGTCGCAAGAATACCGACAATACCCCCTCTAGCACCTTAACGAGAGGGCTGCACACATTAGAGGTGGCGTAAATCGGTTTCTCGCGACGTGTTACCCCTATATCTGATAGAAAATTGACGAGTTTTGATGAGAGATTTCTGCTTAAAAGTTGGTGTGTGTGAGCAGTTTTCCTATCTAAGCACCAAAGAATAATGGGTCATATATTTTCTAAATCTCCCAATACCCATCAATCCGAGATTTCCAATCCGCAGTCTCAATTCGTCTTCAGTAGTATAGTGGTCAGTATTTCCGCTTGTCAAGTTACATTGGCAGCTCGCGGGAGACCGGGGTTCAATTCCCCGCTGGAGAGTTTTCTTTTTTTTTCTTTTTTTTTGTATGTGGAGACTAGCTGCTAAGCCCCCACGTGTAGTGGAAAACCCTGTGTGGCGGCATGCTGGTGATCCTCCGACTACAACAAACTCAACTCCTGCACAGAGGCCATGCGAATGTCTGGGTAGAGATTTCAGCTTTGATTGTTTCTGTGTGTTATTAAATATTTTTAGCGACAAATTATCATGGGGCTAGCGGCGACATATCTATAGCAAACAAAACAATAATGCAGCTTGCCAGTTGTTAAGGAGGTACTTAACACGGCTACCAACATTGGCAAGATTTGGACTAAACAACTCTTCCGGTTGCACTCGAACCAGCGTTGAGCTGACTGTCCCTTGTATCTAAATAACGCCCTGAGATACCAGCACAGCTCTCGTGCTTCATACCCTTCCGCCGCGATGCTGACTTTGTCGACTGCGGCATACTGCTCGACCAGATCCGCCAACGATGTGCTGCGCTAGCGTCGCATCTAACGAAGACACGGAAAACATAGTGCGACTACATAGAGCAGAGCTTCTGGGAGATCGCCGACCAGGTCAAGGTTTGCGATCCCAAGGACCCGCAAGCTGACGTATTTATGCTAGTACACGACTGGCTGCGCGACGCGAAGAACTGACAGTGGCTGCTAGTGCTGAACAATGTGGACGACGATTACATGCCGCTTGCTCTGTACGGCAGTGCCTTGATAAGTACTGGCGGAACCATCACAAAAAGACGAGTCTGCTGAGCTACGAGGCGCGTCACCTTCGCCAGGATGCAGCAGCCAGCAACTCTGTCGTCATAACATAGCACATATCAGTCCATCGCATACGCAGTACAAGATAGTCAGCCGTAGGTCTACTGTCGCTAATAAGCTTCTTCGACCGACAAGGGATCCAGGAAGCTCTACTCCGCTGCCAGAGCAGACGACAGGTTTGAAGAGGCTGTGCTAGACCTGCGAGACTACTTGTCAATCACGGTGACTAGATATACAGACACGTTTGAGATGCACAGCCTAGTGAGTCTAGACAAGTGGAGAGAGCAATTTATCTCGAATCTGTGCGCAGAGCTGCTGATAGGGGAGCACGTGAACTAGGAGAAGTGCTAGGCACTATTTCTACACGCATAGGCAGCACTAGCATAGTAGCCTAAGAGTAAAGAATTACAAAAAGAGTAGGTGCTATTACTGTACAAGTTGGCTTAGTACGCGTAGCAACGGGGAAAAGCAGGCAAGGCAGAGGGGATGGCGACGATATCGATAGAGGTTAGG